CAGTGCTGACCCTGGGAGGCACTGGTGATGGCTCAAATAGTTAGATCCCTGCTACATACATAGGAGGTCTTTGGTGAGTTCCCATTTCCTGGCTTTGGCCTGGTCTCATTCTGATCATGGTGGACATTTGGGGAATAAACCAGCAGATAGGAGCTCTGATTCCATATATTTTTCTCTGTCCATCAAATAAATAAAAGCAAAAGTTCTAATGGTTTCCTTGACTGATCCAGGTCTAATATATACGGGTTGGAAACTTTTGCTTCTCTTGGTATCACTAACTAGGTATCTGTCAGTATCTACTTGAGTTTATAAAGACAGTGATTTAGTGTGGTGTTGGTCAGTCCAACATAATCTGAGTTAGCCCTATTTGTATCTTTTCACTCTCTAATTAAAATATAACTACCAAAGTAGTGAGTTTTGATAGAGACAATATGAAGAGTAGGTGATAGCAGAAAAGGTAAAATAAACAGATCTCCCTAGGCTTATCCAGAGTAGTATGGCCATGGAAGGGAAATTGGTAGCTGGGCCAAGGGGACTCTGGGAATGGATGAGATGCATTTTTATTCATCATAACAGTTGAATAGCTCTACCTTTATCTCCCTGCCAAGGAGGAGGAAATACTTACTGTCTCTCTCTTATAGTACATGCTCCCCTGATTTGAGGACACAGAACTCAAGTGAATGGAGCTACTATTTATTTATTGATTCATTCATCAACAAATATATATTTAACTACAATCTATTAAATAGTCTTCTGTTTGCTAGTCTGAGAGCTGAACTGCTATATATAACATTGCTTATCCTATGGGAAAAGAAAGACACCAGGGAGACAATGAAATATTGGACTACAGCTTTTGTATAACTTAGGGCTGCCTATGGTGTTTCAGCACTAGCAAGAGAAGATAGTTGTTTCTGAACTTACTGGAAAACCCACTGGTGACATCTTTAAAAGCATAGAATGTGCTATCAACAAAACTATAAATAATATTATGCTGGTTTTGGTATATGAATGTAATACTATTAACATCAAAATGGATCAAAAAAGCAGATACTACATATTTTATGTTTTTCCCCAAAATAATGCCTGCTTGTCTCTATTAAGCTGACCATTCTATTTTGCATAGCTATTACCAATATGTGTTTGTCAATTTGCTAGCTAGAGTTATCCTTGTTCCACAAAACAAACAAGACCAAACAAACACCAAAAACCATCTATTCTATTGTACTAAATGGGACCAAGATCTGTCATTGATCCACTAGCATTGTACTTAAATCAACAGAGCCAAGCAACTCCATTGAAAAAAAGACACAGAAATTCACTCTCAAATGGTACTTATCTATCGAAGCGCACACAGTAGTCACCCCCAGGCCATGCATAAAATGTTAAAAGACCACAAGTAGAAGTTTGAAACCAAGGGTATTACCAACTCCTGCAGTATTAGAGTTCTCTAGAGATACAGAATCAATAGCATGTGCATATAGGGTTATGAAGGAGGACTTATTCGAGAGTTTAGTTCATGTGACTATGGCACCTACAAGTCCCACCTCAGGATGATGCTGGAATAACAATAGTACCACCTGGTGTAATTCCAAGGGCCTGGAAACCAGAGAAGCCAAGGGTTTGAACCTCAGTTCAAAGCCAAAAGCTGGAGTGTCAACAAGGGGGCTATGTAAATGTCCTGGAGTTCAAAGGCCAGCAGCTGACCTCTAAGATGGGAATCAAGCATATCCCAGCTCTCAGAGTGAGAAATCAATTCATCTTTTGTATTTAGTCTCTCCAGATGCCTAGCCAATTGATGGCATCCGCCCATGTCACTGCTGGATCGTCCCACCTGGTTCACTCGGACTCACATGATAATCTCACTTGGAAATAACCTCAGAGACACACACAAAGTCATGAATTTTAGGCTTCTAGGTATCCTTTAATCCATTCAAGTTGCCATAAAATCAATCATCATGCCTTTGTATATGCTGTGTTTTTTTCCTATGCATACCTACCTATGATAAAGTTTAATTTATAAATTAGACACATTGAGATTAACAATAATCCCAAAATAGAACAACTGTACCAATATCTTATGAGTTTTTTTTGAAAAATACCACGTAAATTGTTTATTTCTGAGTTTTCCAGTGAATATTTTTGAAATGTGGTTGACTGCAGTTAAAACTGTAGAAGGCAAAATCGCCTATAAGAGGGTGCTACTATCCCACCATGTAAGATACTCAGCAGTGTGGCCCTGAGTAGTCCTTTGGAGCAGTATGGTTCAATTCCAGAGCAACACATCTGCTTTGGAATTAAGAAGTGAGAGTGAATTAATCCTCAGCTGTAGAGACGATCTGCCCAGATTCCTATCACTATTTCTGGCCCTCTCTAGGGCTTTGAAAGCATACCCAGGGATTCCTCAACCCAATATAGGACTGATGGATGAGGTGTGCAGGTGGGCAGGCCTGCTTGGATCAATCCTCTTTTTAGTCCATTTCCTTGCTTATCGTGAACAATGGGAGAAGTAAAGACAGTGGGAAAAAATCAGTTAGTTAAATTGTTTGTTTTTACAGCTGGCCTAAAGAATAGTGAGGGAAGCCAATAAAACTAAGTGATGAGAATTACATGTCAGAGTTTTCTGGGGCTTTTGATTATCTGTGGCTTGCCAAGTTTTATTACCACAGAGAGGACAACATGGGCAAGAGTAGGAAAGAGCAAACCTGACTGGAGCATTTCATGTGCTGTCACATACGCTGGCTTCATAGACCCGCAAAATGACTTCAAACCTGAACCCCATTTTCCTAACAACTTTGCATCAGCACAAGAGACATATGCATGTCCAATGCTAATAGTCAGGAGTGTGCACGCCTGAGAAATCCGAGGGGCTGCTTCTCACGGCATCGTCCCTCAGGCTGGCCAGCTGGTACACAGAAGGCACTACATTGCACTTGTGTCTTGTCCTTGTCATGTCATTCACAGAAGTTGAGACTCCCACTGTCTCTCTTTCCAAATCCCATCTCCTGAGGGCTTTCTGGAACAGTCTATCAGTTCTTGTTGACTTCGTCCCCCTCTGACTTTCTTCCAAAACCATCATGGCAGCAGTTGAAGGAATGTTGCTTCATTTGGCCTTTGATTCACTTTTACGAATTCTCCTTGTTTACCCAACTAGATTGCATGGGGGTTGAAACACTCTTTCTATGTCTACAAAAGCATCACACACAATGCCTACTTAGCACACAGAGGGTACCCAGTGCAAACCTGTTTGCCAACTATGCTCAAAGGCAAACAAAAAATATCTGCACTTCTATTTCTAGTCTGTGGCTATTTAGTTGTTGAAAATAGTGAGGAACAATCAGAATCAGAGAAATTAGTGAGTTCCCTTTTTTTCAACCAGTTCTTTGTCTTCTCCTGTAAGCAAGCAGTATCATCTCACCACATTTCATTACACCTTGGACAGGCAAGGAAGGGCAGAAGCTACCTCTCCTCTTAGAGAGTTCATGCACAAACTGCTGGCACCCTTGGTGGCTCAGACATTTGACACCTGCCCTGCTTGTGGGGAAGGTACAGTAGAATCTCCATTAACCAGACCCAGTAGTCCAGAATCCTCAGTTCAATGGAAGCACGATTCTTCATGTATTAAGGGAAAGAGGTTAAGTTATGTAAAAATCAAGATCAAGTAAAGAATTATTTGACAACCCATATCCTTGGACAGCTCTATAGTTACTCAGCCCCATTTCATACGCTTTCCCGGATATAAGAATTGACAATTACAATAGTAAGGAACATTTAATAAGTGCTTCCTGGGGATCAGGTAGTAAACAGTGTACTTTTTTGTACCCCTTTGATGACAGCTCCCTGTTGTCCCCACTTCCAAACGTCTCACAACCACCACTCTGCTATGTGTTTCTATGTGTTCTCTTTGAGATTCTGCATATGAGTGAGCTCATGTAATTTGTCTTTCTGTGTCTGGCTTACTTCACTTAGTAGAATGTTCTTCAGGTTCATTTGCCAGTGGCAGAATTTCCTTCTTTGAAAAGGGTGAATAGTAGTCCTGTGTTTGTGTGTGTGTGTGTGTGTGTGTATCACATTTTCTTAACAATTCATCTTTTCTCTGGCACTGAGGTTGCATCTATAACTTGTCGATGGTGACTAGGACTTCACTGAACATGGCAGTGCAGAAATATTTGAGGTGCTGACTTCATTTCCTTTGGATAAATACTCAGAAGCGGGATTGCTGGATCTTGTGTGTTTTATTTTGAATGTTTTGAGGAACGTTCATACTGTTTTCCATAAATGGCTGTACTGTAGAGTACTTTAAACAACTCTTCTCATTCAATCATTATAAAAAACATCTCCAAAGTATGCATTACAGTATGCAGTGTCAGAACATAATGGTTATGCTTTACCGGTAATATAATATTTACCTTTAGACAATCACTATTCTTAATCACTACAGTTCTTCCTTGTATATTATACCTACTAAACTGAAATGTTGCCAATATATTATACAGCTATTAAGTTTGGAGTTATAGAAATTTTGGATTGACTGTTTAAAATCAACTAAACTGATCATTCTCCATCTAAAAACCTAATAGAGATTTTAATGTAGTAAAGAGCTGAAGGAAAAAAAAACAGAGGAGGAGTAATTCATTGACTGTATTTTGCAGATGGAAAAACTCAGGCAATGTCATCACCAATTTAGTTGCAATAGGGAATGGAAAAGCCATTTAGGAAGAGCTGAAACCAGTCCTAAGCTACATTTCTAAGGCACCTGCAAGATTGAGAAAAAATTGGGTATACAGCATTTGGTTATTATGAGTATAGATGATCTGAGCGGTGATGAGGTGGTATATTTCCTTAGCTTAATGATACAGGGGCAAGTACATAGGCATTCAGTTTGGTGAGGAGCAATTCCATTGGTCAGTATGGGAGCTGAGAAAGCAAATATTCTGGTCTAAGTTTTATTGCCAAGTGATTCTCAGGAAACCATAGGGATCCAGGTCCTCTGAGGCTCTTACCTGGTGGCCAGGCTGCTCCAGCTAATGATGTTTGAGTGCCCCTTTGATACAGGACGCTGCATTGCTGAAGTGGAAGAAATGTCCTTTAAGTTGTTTTCCATGACCATTTTTCCTGTACCTGCAATATGATTGCAACCTTAGTGAGTCGGCATGATAGCTCTTCACAAAGGATTTGGGACAATTCCCCAGTGACTGAAACATTTCTAGCCCCTTGAAGAGGGGAAGGCTGGGGACCCTTAGCTATAGACTACTCCTAAGATGATGAATTGCAGCAAGCTCTCCAGTGTCTTTTTACAGAATTAGAGTAAGTGAGGATTTCAGTTCCAAAGGGTATGCTTAAAATAACTTCTTGCTGAACCACTGTGGAACCTTTTTGTCCTAGCACCCTTCCCACGTCACCCAGGAAAACAGCACCTGAGGAGCCCTCGCTCCTCTAGGAGGGTCTAGAGCCACGTGGCACTTTTGCAAAGCATCAGTCCATGAGGCTCCTCTCACTTCTTGGAGGCTACTCACTGCAATTCGTTCCTCTTGGACATGGCCACTTGTGCCTTTACTTTCCTTCCAAGGCTTCCTTTTGCTTTTGAAGAAATTAGGATCTTACAAGGGATGGCTGTCAAAAGTTTTGGGAATTTCTAGATCAGAAATAACACAATAGCAAGTAACTTTCTCTTCTGCAAAATGGGCACAATACCATGCCTTTGAAGGGTGATTACAAAGGTAAATGCAAGCATGTTTGAGATCAGCAGGTTACATGAACAATGTGAAGCTGCTTTAAGGTGGAAAAAAAGTGACACATGAATCATTTGCAAGAGTCTTCATGCACCCATATGTTGTCCTCTATCATGCCATTCTTAGCCTGGCATCCAAAATCAACCCAGGAATCTTTTTCAACACTCTGGGATGTTGTTAATCAATAAATAATAGCATTGTGGGAATGGGCCTAGGAGCTAAGATGCCCCCATCCTTCTCTGGAGTGTCTAGGGTTGATTCCTGACTCCAGCTCTTGACTCCAACTTCCTGCTAATGCAGACCCTAGGAGGCAGTGGTAATGGCTCGAGTAATTAGGTCCCTGCCTCCTGTGGGAGGCCTGGAATGAATTCCCAGCTCTTGGTTTCTGCCTATAGCCTCACTCATGGCTGTTATGAGCATTTGTGGAGTGAACCAGTAGATGAGAGCACTCATTCTCTCCCTCCTTCCCTCTCTCTCTCTCTCTGTCTCTGTCTCTGTCTCTGTCTCTGTCTCTCATGTAAGTAAATAAATAGAATTTTTAAAGAATTGGTACGGGTATTGTGATTTCAAAGAAGTCATCTTCTAAGTAATGCCTTGCAGGTGAAATGCTGTGGTTCACTCTTTAAAGTGCCTACACTGTTAGCAGGCTTGAACCTGACTGCTAGGTGGTCACAGATGGAAAGGCGATCTGAGCAGAAGTTACCAAGGAGATGGACAAAGTCCCCTGCCCACCCAAGTGGAGAAAAGAGACATGACCTTTCCCTCCTGTCTCCACAAGAACACCACTCTGCACTGAGACTCGTCAGAATGGGTGGAGTGCCCATGTGAGACAAGCCTTTAAACCCAGCTGTCCCCTCATTTGGAACAATGGCAGGCATCAGAAGCCACAGAAACTGCTTGGTATCCCTCTTCTTTTGATGTAATTCTTTCTGGATCATTCTAATCCACAGAGTCAAAACACACTTGTGGGAGAAGAGGCACATTCTTTGGAGTGCGATTTTTCGGCTTAAACCGGCAGTCATTGCATCACACAGGTGCGCTGAGAGCCAGGTTTGGGATAAGATTGCTCCCTATCTGTAAGCCCCAGAAGCCTTCACTTACACATGGAGTCCTGACGGGGGTTTTCGGCTTGATTGATGCTTCCTTATTTTGCGGTTACATTTTGCCCTGGAGGAAATGGCTTGGGAAGAGCACCTCTGAGGTAGCATCTGAGCAAGGACTGGTAGTGTTACCAACTGTCAGTCTTTTAAGGCTAGCCGATTTAGCACACGTGATAGAAGCTGAGCTATGGGATGCAGAAGACGACATGCCCGAACGGGCTGAGGAACCATAGAACTTTCGGGAAGTCTCTGCTTTTCTCAAAGCCTAACAACATTTCTCTAGCCAACAACAATTGCCAGCTATTAACAAAAGGGGGAGCAAGGAGAAGTAAGTGGGCGAGTGCTTTGTGTGAATCTTTCAACATTTTTGCTAAAGCGTTCACCGTCCCCCTGGTATCATTCTTAGTAAAACCTCCTCTGAAAACATAGTAATATTTTTTATAATTTTGGAAGTTTTCATAATTATGGAAGTGTGTGCCTCTATGTTAAAGTTGGAAAGAGAAGCCTTTGCAGGAATTGATGAAGCTTCTGGCAAGGTATGGATTACCCGTCGATCTAAAAAGAAATGGCTCAAAGAATATCTTTCAGTTCCTTTCAACTCTCAGTTCTGTAATTCTCATGACCTTCCATAAAGGAACAATGACATGCTTTTTTCTACCAGGTTGCAAGACAGGGCACAAACCATACGCAGGTATCCAGTACTCCCATCCTCGTGTCTGTTGTTCTAATCCTACAGTTGACTGTGGCTATTGATTATCTCCAGTCTTTAGCAGCAGAAGCTCTGAGTCTATTGTCACCTTTCCTGCCAGCATCAATGCTGCTTCAAATAGTTATGGGGGAAAAACAAAGAATATATAGGAAGGCAAAGTCCTTTCCTCAACATGGTAGATAAGCAACTTTCTCTGATTCAGTCTAAGACACTTTGGTCACTTTAGTTATCTTTTTACTTATTTCATAGCTGACAGTATGCAAGTAATTATGTTTTCAAGTTTTAGGCAAGGAAAAGTGGAATGGATTTTTGTTTAACACTCTAGCTAGACTGTCTATATGTTGCCATGGCTTACTATGACTTCCCTAGAGAGAAACTAGAGAATAGTTCTGGATAAAGGGTTAGGTACCCAAAAAGACATGGCACATGAGACCCAGGAAGGGCTAAAGTTCCTCTGTACATGGCCAATAGTGTGGTTCTCTTTCTCTCAAGAAGTGATTCTCTTGACAACCACAAGCCTACATTCAGGGCATACATGATGGGATCACTTATTCTGGCAAGCCTCATATATGATTTCCATATGGATAGAAATGAGTCCACTTTTTTTCCATCTCCCTCAAGAAATCCTATTATGGTTTGAATGTGTGAAAATAACACCTACATTATTTAGATAATCCTGAATCTGCTGTATTCACCGAATAGCAGAATTGTTGTAATGATTTAGAAAATTTAGTAATTTACCAGTCATCATAGCGCACCTGAACACAAATTCTGGCTAAGAACCACTACTCTCAGGAGCTGAAAAGGCAACAGGGCAACAGCTCAAGCCCATGCTTTGGTCTTGCAAAAGTAGGGTGACCATCTGTCCATCTATTCGTTGGTTATATATCCAAAAGTAGGGTGAACATCTGTCCATCTATTCGTTGGTTATATATCCATTCACAAGCTGAACTTCAAGAAAATTAGGAGAGCTATGAAAAATAGCACAGCTTGGCATAAGAAGATATCAGAGCCAGGGAAACTAGGTAGGGAGCTGTGGTGGTCACTGGGGTAAGGAGCAAGGATGGAGCCAAGGTGGAAATGGTGCTACGGACTGGAGATAATGGACAGCCACAGTCAGCTGCAGGGTTAGAAGGATGAGTGCAACTGCCACAAATACGGGAGTACCAGGCCTATCTATGTACATGGCCTTTATGGACTTACAACCAAGTTCCTTCCCTTTTATTGGAATTTGACACAAGTGTGGTCTTTGATCCTGGAGTTAGAGAAGAAGAGTTGTGTGGGAACATCCTTTACTTTCTTTCCAAACAAAGGTCACTGGGACAGAAGCAGGGCTGTGAACAGACTTCACTGCTGCTTAGGGAGCCCAAGCGGGGAAGATGAGCTGGTAGACTCATCAGAGTAGTAACAAGGGGTCTTAAAAAGAGTTCAAGGGCTTGTAGACAATGAAAAACAATAACAGCACAACACTATACATGGGATTTCTAAATTTTTTTTGCATCAAAGAATAGTTAAATTTCAGTTTCCCATGAAGTATTTGATGTACTGTCATATGCTTCAACCTTGCAGGTTTGGAATTCTCTTTGTTAAGGAGCATTGGCTGAGTGACTTGTTTTGCAAAGAGGTTAATGGGTGTTTATGAAAAATGGACCCAGGTTACGCCTAAAGAAAATTGTGAAGCAGAGTAACTGCGTGTTTAGAGACATACTGAAACCATGGCTTCTTCTTGTTTCCTGTCCCTGACCCCTTTGACTCTCTCTGTGCAATACCCTTTTCAGAATGCTGCTGTCCTCCAGGTGTGCTCTCCTGCAGAGTGGTGGCATAGCAATGAAGACTCCTCAGGGTGGGGCTGAGGAGGATTTGGACACCCCTTTCCCAAGGGCCATTTTCAAGTTGGCTGTTTCCTCTCCTGGATGTACAGAGACTTCTCTTGCTCCTTCTCGCCCTGGTTGGGAGCATTGCTCTAATATTGTAGGCAACAAGAGGTAGCAGTGAGCTGCACAGTGTAATTAGGATGGAAACCCTTCTTGCCCAGTAACTTAGCTTCAATCCCAATGGAAATAAAAATGCAGGAAAAAAACCAGCTGCCCCTCCTACTCTGAACACTAGCCATATCTGAGTTCATGCTTTGAACCCGAAAGCTGTCGGGCAATGGATCAAAATGGGTTAATAATTTGCTAGAACGTCTCTTCCAATTCCTGCTTTATCTGCAGTTCATTGACGGGAAAAGAAATAATGAGATTCTTTGAGTCTCTGCTCCCATGGGTAATAGGATGATTAACATACATGGAAAACTCAACGATTTGCCAGGCACTAGCCTTCATGCTTTTTGTTATAATATTGTTAATTCTTTATGTACTAAGTCTTTTTCAACCCTCTGCTATCTGCAAGATTATTATTGATATCTCAGAGAAATCTGAAGCACATTGAGAACTTAATTTGCTTAAAGCCAAACTGCTAGGAAGTGGCCAGTCTGGAACCCATGTCCTCAACCACCTTGAAATCTCTCTGTCATATCAGGTGGTGAACTTAAATGGACAACCACAAGGGAAGCTCTTCTTTAGAGAAAATGGAAGCAAT